TTTCGGAAAAAAGGATTGTAGAAAATATATAAATTTATATTAAAATTGTGGGGATGGATAATAAGGCGAAATTATTTTGGTCAAAAGCTTTGATGGGAATGACGTTTCGGTAATAATAGATCGCAAAAAAAAAATTTTTTTTGTATAATTCGGACTTTTTTTTCGGTTTATTTGTATTATAATAAAATTTTTTGTATTGGGAATTTTGAGTATCGCACAATTTTTATAGTTTCGTCAAAGATTTTTACAATAACCTGTATATATAAACTCCGGTCTAAATTTCGGTCTAGACTCCAGTTTCAAATCGGTCTACAAACCGATCCAGTTCGATTTTACCCCTAAACTGATAAAAATCGGACTGAAACTGAACTGATCGAACCGTTAACATCCCTAATTGTTATAATTTATGCATAATTTCGACCAATGATAAATTAGTAGGCACATGACTTGGAATTATTTATGAATGACAAAAGAAAAAATTATTTTATTTTAATACAACTAATAATAGAGAATATATAAATAATTTATAAAAATGTAAGTTAAAGAATTGTCAGAGTGCTTGCATAGGAGGAAAATACTTGGACCCAAAGCCATTTTTAAGTAAAATATTACCTATTCTTTGGGCACTCTGACAAAAATTCAACTTTCACTATTACTACTACTATTATTATCAATAATATTATTACTAATATTTATATTCTCATCGTTTTTATTATCTTTTTCGACTTCATTCTCCATCTCTTTCTTCTTTTTCTTTTCAACCCATTGCTGAATTGCTTCTGTTGTTTTCTTTCTGGGATTGGTTTTTCGTTGTTAGAAGTTTTTTATTGTAGAAGCAGTAATTTCCTTTCCCTCTTCAAGTAATTCATGAATTTCAATAGCCATTTCATTAAATGAAAAATTGGGATTCAACCCAGTCTTTTTGTCAAATAATTGTTTGAAAACCTTCCATAGATTTTCGATTTCATGTGAATATTTTTTATCATCAGTAAGTTGGTTTATTTTATTTTTAAAATGGCTTTTTCTTGGTTCTATTTTATTGACTATTTGATCAATTTTTTGATTTATAATAGAGAATTGATTTTGATAAATTTTATAGTGAAATAAGAAACCAAAAAAGAGTCCAATTAACAACCCACAAAAAAACTCATTATTGAATGTAAGCATTTTTTTAAATGTTATTATGGATGTAAATATTTATTGATTATTTGATTGTTTTTGAACCAAAAAAAAATTGTGTTTATTAGGAATTGTTATTTGAATATTTTTTTTTGCCCAAAAATAAATGTGTAAATGCTCAGATAATTATTACAATTATTGAACAATTTTTAATGAACAAGTAATTTAACTTTTGTAATTTTACAAAAGTTAAAGTGAATTAATTTTATATCTTTAAATATTAATTTACAATTGTTAGGAATATATAAATAAATAAAAGAAAAATGAATGAATCTAATATCTATATTTGTGGGTAAGCTTATAGACTTCCTGGAAAGTACAATCCATAATTGAAAGATAACTTCTTAAATAAATATAAAATAAACACAAATTTCACAAATAATATTATCCATGTTCATCCAGTGAAACAAAAATGAATTTCTCCACATTATGAATATGGTAATAGAATTTAGGGGCTGGTTTAATCTCCAAAAAAATCTAGGGATTGTTACAAAATGGACTAGTGATTCTTTTACAACAAGGCAGGATTATTTACCTCATTTGCATAAAAGAGAAAGTTTCTTTCTTGTATATAGTAAAAAAAAATAAATTAATATTGTAATAATAAAATTATTTTACTTTTAAGGATTTCTGCTTTTTGTTGGGTAATAATATACTTTCATTCTGCTTTCTTTTTCTAACATTTATTATTTTTCTTTCTTCTTGGTAAATTTCATAGATAATTTTTTCTTTGTCTAAATATGTTTGCAAAGATTTGGTATCTGCTAATTTAAAAATGTAAGGAACAATTTTTTCACCTTGTTCCTTTTTTAGAATACTTCTAATGGTGCTGTAATTCTTGGGTTCCATAGTAGATCTGATGTAAATGAGTTTCATATTAACTATTTTTATATAGGAGTAGTACTATATATCACTTGAGAAACAAGAAAGGTAACAAAAACGGGACATTATAAAATTGTTAATTGCATTACATTTGTGATGAATGACTAAATTTTGATCCCTGAAATTCTTGGTAATACCAATGTTCACTTTGTCTGGTTTTGTTGCAGTATGCCCCATATTATAATATATAGTACTAATTTTAAATTTGAAAAATTTGACCAGATTTATCTGAATTTTAACCTGCATTACATATATAATAAATGTAACTTACCACAGTCACATGTAACTTACATGTAACTTACATTGTAACTTACCATTGTAACGTAACTACAACCCTAATTGTCACCTTATTTATTACGTAGTTAATTTCGGCCAAGTTCAGTAATGCCGGCCAAAAACCACGTGAAGGTGAAAATTTTGGCAGGACTAATTTTACTTTTATATACAAAACATGATTTTCAGGCCTTTAACCCATTTTTAGTTTCCCGGCAGTTTCTCCATTTCTATTGCAAAAGGAAAAAATATATTAGCCACCAAATTTTGTAATAATGATCAGCATTGTGCAAAAATTTGATGGGTCAAATTAGAACGAACCTTCTTTAAAAAAGTTGTTCCATAGTTGCATCTAAAAGATGAAAAGTTTGAACGCGTTTTTTCACAATAACGCGTTTTTAACTTTACACAAACATTTTATCCAAGATCCGCCACTGACTGCGGCATAAATTTAATCTAATTAACATTTTAATATTCGTTCTTAGGTTTCTCGTATAAAATGTCAGTATCTGTTCCAGAATATATTGACGCTTTCGACGCACGGTTATATTTTGTTACTTCTCTCAAGAAACTTAATGTAAGTCAGCAATCGATCCTTAAGTGTAGAAGTTTTGCACTTAGATACACAGATTGGTACGAAGACTTATACCGCTGTATTATTGAAGTAATGGAAGGTGGTAATATCTGGTCACGAATGTACCTTCTTTACTTCTTAGATAGTCTCATTGAAAGGTCCGAGTTTGTAAATTTCAAAGGATATACTGAATTTATTCTCGAAGATCTTGAGAAAATTGTTGGTTTAGTCTGCGAAAAGCCTGAAGGGTCTGTTAATTTAGTAAATACATTGAAGACACTGGAAAGATGGCAGACAAAAAACTTTTTTAATAGTGACGTCCTAGAAAAGGTTAAAGTTCTATTACTAACGTGGAAGCTAGAACCAGAATACCCACCTGATCTAAATCTTACTGCGAATGACATAAAACAGAGAATGGAGGATGATAGGGAGAGAGCTAAGCTCCTCAGAGAAGATAGTTGGTGGATTGACAAAAGCATAGAGCATGGAGAAGCCCTAGATTTATGGGATAAGACATCAGATCTTGATGACGGCGATTATATGGACATTATAACAGAAAATATTAAACAAGATCCTATTTATGACTGGAAGAGCTTGTATGAGGAAGTAAAGGCCTGGAATAATGAACTGGCTAAATTTGAACAGGTGGAAACGAATTGCGATATCGGTAAGTTAATCCCGAACGTTTATTAAAAAAAAACTTGTATAATAAAAATTTTTTTCCCTTATATATTAATAGAAACTGTATTGCGGCCCATGAAGAAAACAACTTTTAGTAAGATCCCAAGACCCACCCAAGCGGGTTGGACAAAATATGAAAAGCGGAATCCAATAAACTCCAGGATACAAAGTAAAATCCCAAGACTTAAAGAAACGTCCTTAGGTATACTGATCCAAAACAATCCTAAAGGAGAGCCTTCGGATCCTCTGAAAGGAGAACAAAATAATGTTGAAGAAAACCTTTCTGAGTTTGAGTCCATAACAACATCCACATCAGTGACAGCGACCATGTCAAATCAAGCACCCATATCTAGCAATCAACGCAAAGCTGAACCGATCGTTGTTCCTTTACCTCCTAATACAACTAATAATGTGACTACCTCGTCATGTCTCGAAATTTCAAGAACCAAGAGAAAACATGATACTGATGATATGTTCCAGGACATATCTGATGAACGGCCCAAACAAAAGGCCCGTAATCAAATGCCAGTTCATGGAGAGCTTTCAACTACTTCGGAAATCAAGTTAAGTCAGTATTCCGATTCCAAAGAGGTAAGAGAAAAATTATAAATGTATCAAAGTTGAAAAGGAATTTATGTAATTAGAAAGTAATATAAATATTTATGATTTATTTAAGTTATCGGATCAAAATTCTTCATATGTAAGCGAAGAAAACTCGGAGGAGGCAGACGAAGAAACTTCTAATAATTTTGTTGGCCACTTTCCCGAATCAAATCTTGAATTTCTTTTACAAGCGGTCGAATTGGTATCGCCGATGACTGAGGTTTCTTTATCTAAGGAAGATTCCCCATCTCGCGACGAATTGAATAATGATTTGGTATATTATTTTTAAGTGTATTTGTTTTCACCTTTTTATTTCAGTATATTTTATATATATATCTTTGCCGTGTCTCATTATTTTGTTATCTGTTTTTTTTTTTTCATTTGCAGTATATTGGATAATTTTTTTTTGTAGTCAAAATTTTCGAAGGTTTTGTATAGAAGCAAATTCTGTCTATTATTTTATAGTATTGATACAAATACATAATAGTTGATATCAATATCAAAACTGTTTTCGTTATATGTTCGATGCACAAAATTTATGGTTTTATGATTATTTATAAAATGTTGTTTATGTTGTTTATTTCTAATGTTGGTTCTAATATAATTAATAATATAATTAATAATTTAATTAATGCTTTAGCTTTGACTTACCTTTAAACAGAATTTGTAGATTCCAATCTTTTAGACATTTTCAAAAATAAAATTTGAAAGAAAAAATAGAAATAACAATAACAATAATAATAGTAATAGTGATATAATAATAACAACAACAACAATAATAATAATAATATAATAATAATAATTATAATAATAATAACGGAACACCAAAATTTAATGAAGAAATAACAAAATAACAGATAAATCTAAGAATGTCTGTGAAGAATAGCAAAAGAACTTGCTTAAGCATGAAATAATGTCATTTTCTTTTGGATCTTGTCTAGAAATAAAATAAAATAAAAATTTGGAACAAAGGAAAAGAAAAACGAAGTCAATCATGCAAGATACATGCGTTTCATCGTTTTGAATCAGAAAAGTGAGATCATTAATGTAGGCAAAGAGAAAAATAGACTTTAAATGCAGTCAAAGACACTGTCCATATATATTTTAAATCTATTTATTTGGAAACGGTATTTATACCAAAGCCAATTCCAAAGTCCACGTGCGCCTGCACCACAATCGAACTGGTATGGCTTTATCCCCACCAATTGTAACTTCTAAACCATCCCACCAGCATTTTCTCTGTGTCATAAATAAATTAGTATATAGTAAAAAAGAATTTCAAGATTATTTCTCAAAAGATAAAAATTAAAAAATATTTACCGCCGGTTTCCTCCAAAATAGTAACAATTTTTGTGCTGTCGCCATTTGATTACTTTGTCCAGTTGTTTTTAACATGACAAGCGCGATACTTACAATGCTAGTCTTACGCGGTTCGATATTACGATACCCCCATTCATCATCTCTTGAAAAACCTGACACACACAACATATCTATCAAATGTTGTTCAGCTACGTTGTTTTCTTTATTAACATTACGTTGCAAAGCAGTAAATATTTTTCTTTGATCAAGGAGTATTGTACCGCATTCTGTTTTCAATTCATAAATATTAATTGCAGGTTCAACTTCAGTCATTTCAAGAGCTTCACTAGTATTACCAACAGGTGGTGATGATGAATTTGCCAAATTATCTTTTTTATTAAATTTTGGAGGTATAGTAAAATAATCCAATTCTTCCCTCAAAACAATAATCGCTTGTTTATTTGTAAGAGGATTTTGTGTAGGACTATGTGGAAAATTTGAAGAACTTCCTTGGTTAACATCCTGTGCTGCTTTATAAAAATTCAGGATGTATTCTAAACAAGAAGGATCAAAATCCACATAAATTACTTGGTCTTCGAGTTCCATAGAATCTGTCGAAGCTTGGTCGTCTTGTTCTTCTTCGTAATCAATAGCACCACCTCTACCTAATATAAGGCCATTAGGAAACATAACAATAAGAATGCTTTCAGGCAAACTCATCAACATCTCACGATCAATTTCAAAACGACTTCCTCGAAGCTCGAGTATAAGTTTTGAAGGAAAAGTTGGTTCTGGTGGCTGAAGAGGTTGTAAAGGTACCGCACTATGTACTGGATTAGAAGCAATTTGTGACATTTTTTTCCTTTTTTTTTTTTTTTTCAAAACGAAATGTATTAGAATAGATATAAATATATTTTTTAAATATGCAAGTTAATTATTTCTTAAGAAAAAAAATAAGGGCGCTGGATATGTTTTTCTCTCTTATTAGGGATGAAAAATTAACGGACGGTTATTATAATTCTAAATAAAAATTTTCTTTTGTTTTGATTGGTTGAATAAAATTGGTAGAGTGGAATGGTAATTATCACATGATAACTACGAATTACCGTAAAGTTCCGAAAATAAGAATCATCTAAAATTAATAATACCCGAAAATAAGCGATACCAAATAAGACTTTATAAATTTATAATAATAAATGCATCATCACCACTATCATCTACTTCTAAAACATTTTCTCTATCTTCTATATCTTTTGATAAAACTACGACTGGTTCTTCTTCTATTTCATTTTCCGTCTTATTATATATTAAATGATCTTCACTTCCATCAAGTGCATTTGAAATATCACATGTTTTAAAGAACTTATAATATGTGTAATAGGTATATCTTCCCAAGCTTCAAGAATCCACTGACATATTAAGCTATGTTCAAGTTTTCTTAAATTTCCACCACTTGTTAAAGTAAATCCTCCTGATGCCATCCAATTACACAACTTTTCATGTAATCTATCTTTGAAAGACTTATTAATATATACATCAAGAGGTTGAATTACAGAAGTAAGTCCTTCTTGTATTATACCAGTAACTATGTTCAATAGAATTTGTCTTATATCCTTCAAAAGAATCCATCACTAATAAATTATGCTTTAATTCATTATTTGAAAATTGTTTTACCCAGATTTCATTTAACCAATTTTTTATTAAATTCTCATTTATTCAACCACGTTCATGTATTTTAATAATAAGTCCTGATGGAAAAGAATCATTAAGTTGCTTTTTACCTTTAAAAATTATCATAGATAGAAGTTTTATTTCATCTGCTAACATTCTAAGAACATATGTAAATCTGTTTTTATCATTTCTAGTAGTTTAATTCGTACTGTTCTTGCTGATCGAAAATCTACTATTAAGTTACCAACTGTATCAAAAAATATAGGTGTTTTATCCATATTAATAATAGAAGATAATTCAAATTATTAGTCTAACATGATCTTTAATAAAATTATAAAATGATTCTAATTTTTTTGCTAAATTATGAGGAAGTTTTTGTTTAATTTTTGTTTTTTGATAAAGTACCAAATTATTTCTCTTCATAAATGCATAAAACTATCTGCTAGATACTTTAAAAGTTTCGACAGTATTTATTATTGTAAGTAACTGTTTTATTTTAAGTTTTACAGCTATAGGTATTACTACAATTTTATCTTGACATAATTCAACAATCCATTTCTTTAATTCCTTTTCTATTAAAAGATATTCTACTAGTTTTTCTAAACTAACTCTTCAACTTTAATGTGAAAATTCTAAAAGTTTTTTTCATTAATACACTACCTTAAAATTTATAAATAATGTAAATCAAATTTATCTGCTCTGGTTCTATTTGACATTTCTTCTATTTCAGAAAGAATTTTAAGTTTTTGTTTAGCAATATAACTATTACAAGTTTTTTTTAACATGGTAAAAAGAAAAAAAAATTGGCATTGATATAAAGTTTATTTTTGATTTAGTAAATTAACATTTTATAAATTGATCTAAAAATAAGTATTAGATATAATTAAAAAGTATCGCTTATTTACAGAATTTTATGATATGTTGTAAAAGTATTTTATTATTATTATTATTAAATTTTTAAAGATCCAATTTTTATTATAATTTATAAAAATAAAACATTTATAAATATAATAGAAAGAAAATTACCAAAAAAAAATTTTTATTTTATAAGCTAAATATTTAAATTTAACATTAATTCAAAAAAATTTTTTTTTGAAGTTTTCTTCTTTTCTATCATATTTTAATATTTTATATTACTAGAAAACAAAAAATCATTATTAAATTTAAAATGATCTTTATCTGAACTTTTGTGCAATTACAAAGTCAATCAGCATCAACTCAATTATTTAGCGAATGAATATCAGAAAAATAGAAACTCTTGTTAGGTTTAGAATAATTTTAACTAAAAAAATATTACAAATGCTAAGCAGTATTGATTCAATTTTAAGTAGACAGACATTGAGCTTTATATAAATATATATAATTCTTCACTTCATTCTAAACTAATTATATAGTTTTTTACTTCATTCTAGATTAATTAAAAAAAAATAATTTTATTATTATATCAATTATTTTATTTATATATTTTATTATAGCCAATTTTATAATATATAGAACATATAATAAAATTTTTGCTAAGAATATTTTTAGTTATCAGATTATTAGGTTATCAGCAATTTGAAAAACATAAATCAACATATGATCACTAATTATTACTTCTTTATGTAAAATAAAAAATATGCTATGTTAATATTACTACAATGTCAAATTTAAAATTTAATAATTATTTTTATTAGTTAATAAGTTAAAAGAGCCCTAGAAGGATTTTTATGTATAATAATAATAAGGTAATTCAAAATTAGTAAATCTTTCAATTTTAAAGTTATTATATATTTTAGAAAGAAAAGATACTATAAAGTCAAGAAATTTTAAAATGATATATTATGTGACTCTTTATAATAAAATAGATAAAAATTAGAGAAGTTATAATATTAAAAGATTAAGAAATAGCCAATTGAACAAAGGATTATAAAGGAAAACAAATAGTCAGAAATTATATGATAAATAATTAACTGAAATAATGTAACGAAATATAAATCATCTAATATAACTATTAAAAAATACAGTTATACAAAATACAATATAATCAGAAAATAGTACAAACCTTATAATATAACTGAAAGAAAGTACCATAACTAGAATATAATATTATAGTCAAAATGTGATATGATAACTTAAATGTTATACAATAACTAAGAAGTAATATAATAGCTAAAATGTGTTATAATAATTTAAATGTTATATAATAATCAAAAGTAATATGATAATCAGAATATTATATAATAATTAGAAAAAAGTACGATAATCAAAATGAAATATAAAATATATCACAAAATCTTAAAAATCAAATAATTAAAATTGTAAAGAAAGAAAATAGCTAAAAGACTCTTAAAATAAGAAAAAGAAAAAGAAGGAAACTGATGAATATATATAGTTAACTCTTGTTATAATAAACTCTATATCCTAAACCTCAACTTTACTATAAAGTTATAGTGAAGATTTTAAGAGATTTAATTAGATAATTTGCTATAATAAGAGTATTTTTATTATATTATTCAAAAAATTTATTATATCAAGAGTTTGTTATATCAAAAGTTGACTATATAAATATTATATAAAGATTTAATGAAAAAATTAATAAACTGAGATTATAAAATATATGTGTAATCTATATTATCAAAAAGCAAATCAGAGAAAATATTAAAGAGAGAATAAGAATATACTTGAACACAAAAAAAAGAGAAAATTATTATGAAAATTAAAGGAATGAAAAAAAATGAAATAATAATTAATAAAGTTAAAGGAATATCTAAAAATAAAAAATAATGATATCATAAGAATACATAATGATATATATAATAAAATATATAATAACTTTAAAAATAGTGAATAGAAAGAAAATATAAGAAAAAATAGAAAATAAAAATAAAATGAAATTAGGAATAGAAAAATTAATAAAGGAATTAGAATTTATAATGAGAAAATGATAGTGAAAAGATATGATGAAATGTTAGAAATAAAGCTGTATCAATAGCATACCTAATTGAATTTAAGCATTTATTAATATAAATGAAAGACATGTTACATATAAATTATCTAATAAAATTTATAAATATTATTTTTATTTTTATTTAAAAAAATTTTATCTATATTTGATATAAAATTATATGTATAAAATTAAAAAAACTGACTGTTATTACTTTTGATAAAAACTGTATTTATTATATATCAAATTATGGAAAAGTTAAACAAATTTTATATAAAAATTTCACATATATAATACTGATCTAATTATATTACTGATTTTTCAAAAGCTATTTTTTTAAATGAACAATTTTTCAAAAATTTTGAGCAGAATTATTATAATGTAGGCTAAAATTTTTAGGATAATATTTAATATAATGCTAATTTTTAAATCTGAAATTTTCCATTTTTATATACAGTGGCGGTCAAAAGTATTGCATCACTCAAATACAAATTTTAAAATTGCAATTTTTTGACAATTAAGGCAGCACAGTGTACAAAACTTTATTTTTAGACTTATTATAACGAATCAATTTAGTGGTATAAATTTCGTTACGCAGTGATGGA